CCCCTCTCATGTGTTCTCTCTCTCTCATTCTCTCCTCTCAAATAAATAAATAAAATCTTTAAAAATAAATAAATAAATAAAGACTATACCCATTTTTTATAATCAAAATAGTAAATAAACTTTTCAAAAACCTACATACTACAAATGTGGTGGGAAATGACCTTACAGTGAAGGGTCCTTGGTACTAATACTCTCCTGAACCACCTGAGGACAGGAAGACATCTGAGGAGCTTCACAGATACTTGTCATTTACCCTTACAACTGCCCAAAAGGGTCACCTCATTCTCCTCATTTTACAGATGAGGAAAGAGAGGCTCAACCTAGAAGCCCTGGGAACTGGTAGCCAAACCTGCCCAGCCCCACCAGCCACATTCTTTCCCTGCCACTGGAAAATGCTGCCCCTCACTGTTCTGCTAGGCTTTCAAATTCAAAACACAACACAGAAACACAGTAACTTAAAATGGTATTAAACGTGAACAAATGTTTACCAAGCACTGTTCTAAGGCCAAGGAAACAGTTAAGCAAGAGAGACAAGTTGCCTGTCCACAGGTAGTTCATATTCTAGTAGTGGAAGTCTAACACAGACCAAATACACAAACAAATGTCATTTCATATCGACCATTTAGGAAATAGGGGTGGTGGGGAATGTGGTCAGGGAAAGTCTCTCTGAGGTGACATCTGAGCTTAACAATCAGAAGGAAGCAGTCACATGGAGATGTGAAAGGTGGTTGTAACCCAATAAGCAAGAGGGAGAGCGGGAACAGAAGTGGGAAAAGAAGCGAAGAAGCCAGATCATGTTAGGACTCGGCAGGCCATGGTAAGCAGTTTCGATTTTATTCTGGAATTGCTAAGGAATCCATTGTGGGGATTTAAACAGGGTAGAATCACACCCTCCTTTAAGTTTGTGAAAGGGATTCAGGACACCCCCCCTCCCAGAATGTGCCACTTTGGCAAGTGGATTATTTTGAGTTAAGGCACTTGAGACCCTGTTGAGCTGAAAAACTTTTGTCCCTCCCGTAACCACACAGAAGAATCTAAACTGGGAGGGTCTTTCCAGACTAAGGGGTATTAGCAGAGATAAATTTTATCTGAGTGACCCATCTGTACAGTAGGGCAAACATCTAAGTGCCAAACACCTGCTCTTATTGCCCTGTGAAATGCATTCCTTTCCTCTGAAATCCCAGACCTCTACCTGCTTCTACTGAGAGTAACATATAGACCTCATTTTGCCTGTCTTTGGCATTCCCATCTATGCGGATTTCCCGTATATACACCTATTAAATTTTATTTTCTCCTGTTAATCTGTCTCATGTCAATTTGATTCTCAGTCCAGCTAGAAGAACCTTGGAGCAGACAGGAATTCTTTCTCCCCAACATATGAAAAAGATCACCCGACTGCTGGTAGAGGACCGTGGGAAAGGAAAACTCAAGCAATGAGGGAAGGGCAGGTTGATCCAGACCTAATGAAATCTCTGGTCAATTACCATGAAGACACACAACTAACTATAAAGCACCAGATTTCATAGTGACCTTGACATAATTTCCCTCATTTCCTGAGACACCAATATTACCAATGAAGAGTAAAAACTCAGAGCAAATTTGGAACCATCATGAGAGCCCATGATCTCTTGTGGCACTTCCTTCCATCCACCTAGTGCCTAGTGAGTTGGTCTTCCTAAACCAGTCTCCTGCAAGCCTCATGAGTCACACAGCTACAGAATATGAGGGCTGGAAGAAACAGAGATCTACCCAACCAATCGCCTTTTTATAAGCGGGGTGACTGAGAGCTGGCAAGATAAATAACTTATCAGGTCTGTGCCCTCACATCCCACATTCACCCATCCTCCACAGCACTTGGCACAGTGCCTCGCACACAGCACTCAGTAAATGCTATTTGTTTTCAGGTTGGCAGGACAGTGTCAAACACAGAAAACTGTATCTATACAAACTTTTTTCAGAAAGGAAAGCATCAACACTCTTACATTTTTAAACTCAGATGATAAAACCATTTTATAAATATAAGAAGCCAACACAATTAAGTTCCTAACTCCACTGGGAAATTAATTCCTGTTCCCACAGCACTTCATTCAAACCTCTATGATAGGCATTATCACACTGGATTGTCATTATCTCTCATTTCTGAATCATTCCCAGACCAGATTTGCACCAGGAGGCAATTTGCTCTATGAAAAGACCCGAGGATTTCAAGGCAAGAAGACCTGGGTTTGAGAAGAGTGTGAGGCCATCACTCTTTTGCTGTATGACCCTGGGCAAGTTACTCAACTTCAGTACACCTTAGTTATCTTATGCGTTACCTGGGCAAGTTACTCAACTTCAGTACACCTTAGTTATCTTATGCGTTAATGCCACCTACCTAAAAATTACAAGGTGAGGTTTAAATGAGATAAGGTACATAAAATGCTTGGCATGGCATCTGACAACATAACAGGTATTAAACAAACAAGATCCAGGGTAGGGATGGACCTAGTTCCACTCATCCTCCTACCTCCAGTGCCAAAAACAGTGCCCAAGACCTGCTACCATCTCTCATCCAGATCCACTGCAACAGCCTTCAAATTAGTCCCCCTGCTTTAATCTGTCCTTATACAGCAACCACAACAAATTTCCTGAATCACAAATCAGATCAGGTGTCTTCCCTATTTAAAATCCCTGAATGAATAAATGAAATGCATATTGTGTGCAAAATACTATTACCAGGTACCAAGGAGAGACACATCCAAACAAAAAACAGTTCCAGGCTAAGCACTTGTAATCTATTTTGGCGACATTCATACATACAATGGGTAATGTACGGGTCATGCTACCATAAAATGTAAGCAGCTGGTTAAGCCACGTGTGTCTCCTGACCACACCCCAGTTCAGAAAACGTTAATAGCCTTTCATCATCATATAATTTAAAACGCTTTCATTAGCAGTACATTAATACGTGGTCCCATGTGCTCCGCAAACTCTGCAGCCACTAAATACAGGGGGTTAGGCACCCTGTGGATATGCAATAAACATCCACTGACTCAACCAATTAATTGGCTCTTCCAGGCAGTCAAAACAGAGTCTAGTTCTCAGAGGTATGGCTACAGCTAGCTCCAGCTTGCTCTTCCTCCATAAGGATTCCATTGCTTTGGCCTCAACGGAAAACCCCACAACCACTGTGCCAGCCTCACCTTTAAAAGGCTCCGTGATCCAGGTTTCAACTGCTTTGAAAAACCTCTCTTACCTCCCCAGGTATCTCTCCTCCCTCAGCAGTTCTCCTAGCATGTTCTCAAACCCATTCTGATTGGATGCTGGCTGAGGGGCACCCTATTACTTTCAAAGGCACCATACTGAGCCCTATGGAAAGAGAGGGAGGGAGGTACTGCCAGAAAACAGCCATGTGACCCTGAGTAAACACCTCGCCTTTCTGGATCACAAATGGCTCACCTGTAAAAGATGAACAACATATTCTGCACAAGGTGGTGGTGAGGAGTAAATGAGAATCTAGTGAAAACACTTCAGTGAAAAGAACATGATGTCTTAAGCTTCTCTTTGTGCCAGAAACTGTGTTAGGCACTTTGACACACCACCACCAAGGGCAAATTGGTATAAAACACACTAGCTCTCAGGCGGGCAGCATAATATAGAGGTTAAAAGCCTGGACTCATGATCACAGATGCGGCTTCAGCCAACTGCTGGACAGCATAAAGTAAATCGCTTGACCTCTCGGAGTCTCAGTCCTTCGTTTGTAAAATGAAGGCAGGATCTCTTAGAGAGAGTATGGTATTAAATGATACAATGCCACATCAAGCATTTAACACAATGCCTGGCACACAGCAAGTGCCCAATTAGCAAAGAGTGCTATTATTATCTTACAGCACCCCAAGAGGGAAGTGAATGCCAGGCCTGGTCTATGTTCCCTTCAATGGGCCTCAGGATCCTCATCCTCAAAATGGGGGAGAGGCCAAACTCTATCCTGAAGCACCTCAGGGCAGCTGTGAAGCAGGCGCTGGAAAAGCACTGTTCATATCACCCTGTTATACTGTCTTCGTAGTAATTATATGAAATTATCTTGTCCATGTATTCATTTTCTTAGTTCCTATCTGTCTCCCCACCACAGTACAGACGCCTGGAGAGCAGGCCTTTGCTCAGCACAGCGCCCAGCACTTAGGCGCTCAACAAATACCCCGTGAAGAAAGGAGACCACTGAGCTGGCTTACTTTCTGCCACGTGCTGTGATAAGAGCTTTCCGCAGTCTTATCGTTGTCCCCGCTTTACAGATGAGGAAACTGAGGCCAAGAGGTTCAGGCACCTGCCCAAGGTCGCACAGCAGGAAATGGAACCCACGTCTGAATTCAAAACCGGACTCTTGACCATCAGGCGACACCGCCTCCTACTGTGGGGGTCCCCAGAACTCCCAGCAGGACTCACTTATAACCACACACACCCCCTACCCGGGCCCAACTAACCCGGAACCTCTCGCCACGGCTGTCCGAGTCCCCACACCTAGGCCGCGACCCAGAAGCCCCCATACCGCCGAGGGGCAGCCCCCACTTCCGGCCTGAGGCCCCGCCCCTGGCAGAGCTGAGCGCGCGCCCCCAGCCCAGCCCGCGCGCGCCGGGTCACGGCCCCGCCCTTCCCCCACCCGGCCCGATCTGCACCACCGTGGGGAGCGGCCCAGGCACCGCCCGCAGGGCCCGCCGGCTCCTGACCTTGACATAATTTCCCTCATTTCCTGAGACACCAATATTACCAATGAAGAGTAAAAACTCAGAGCAAATTTGGAACCATCATGAGATGCTCTCTCTCGCTCTCTCACACTCTCTCATAAATAAAATCTTTAAAAAAAATAAAAATAAATGCTCTATGAAAGAGGCTGATGTACAAACAACGTTCTGTTCAGAAAACTTATCCATTAACATTAAAATGTTCACAGAAGCTTCCTTCAGATGGTGGGCCTTTGTTAATTCCTCTTTATAGTTTTCATAATTTTCCAACTTTTCTTTAAAGACTATACCCAGGGGCGCCTGGGTGACTCAGCTGGTAAGCATCTGCCTTTGGCTCAGGTCATGATCCCAGGGTCCTGGGATCGAGCCCACATCGGGCTCCCTGCACCGTGGGAAGCCTTGCTTCTCCCACTCCCCCTGCTTGTGTTCCCTCTCTCGCTGTGTCTCTCTCTGTCAAATAAAGAAATAAAATCTTTTAAAAAAACAAATAGGGCGCCTGGGTGGCTCAGTTGGTTAAGCGACTGCCTTCGGCTCAGGTCATGATCCTGGAGTCCCG